TGTGCCCTTTGCAGAACGTCAATCCTTCCTCTGTTTAAAAAGAAAACATTGCAGTGTTTTTAAAAAACTGTCATTGCGAAAGTTACCCAGTGAGCATTTCCGAGGAGACCAAGTGGGGAAGTCTCCTCCCTCACTCCCCTTTGCAGGCCTCACTCATCCTAGTTGGCTGGGCCAGGCCTGGCCTGGCCCGGCTGGCTCCTGGCGCTCTGCCCTGGCCCACGCAGCCCTTTAACCACGTGAGCCAGGACCACGTGTCTTGCTCTCATCCGCTTCTTCTCTATTGGAACACCCCCCACCCCCACCCCCATCCTGGCCCAAGCAGAACACCCTTTAAAACTGGCTGGCAGCCCAGGATTTGAAATGGCTTGCTTGCTGGGCCTGATCTGCTTCCCTGTGAGCAAGCATCCCTTGTGAGAGGTCCTCTTACTGGGGGAAGGGAGGTTGGGGGATGTCCACGCCACCTCCTGAATGTTTCACGGGCCCAAGCCTGCACGCCTTCCCAGAAGTCAGTTATCCACATCTCCTAATTAGGAAAGGAGTTCTTTTGTTTGTTTTTTAAAAAATCTTTTGTTGTGAATTAGGTGGGCCTGACCCAAGCCATGTATTCTCCGTTGCATCATATGCATTTGAAAGCCGGACATTGACTAAGGAAGATCGTAGAAGAACAGATGCCTTTGAACTGTGATGCTGGAGAAGAATGTTGAAAGGACCATGGACTGCTAAAAGGACAAACCAATCTCTCTTGGAAGAAGGAAGGCCAGAGTGCTCCTTAGAGGCAAGGACGGCAAGACTTTGTCTCACATACTTTGGACATATTGTCAGCAGAGACCAGCCCCTGGAGCAGGACATGATGTTTGGTAAAGTGGAGGGGCAGCGAAAGAGGAAGGCCCTCAATGAGATCGATTGACACCGTGGCGGCATCTGTGGGCTCAGGTACAGGAACAATTGTGAGGGTGACACTGGACCAGGCAGTGTTTTGTTCTGCTGCGCGTAGAGTCACCATAGGTTGGAGCCCCTCAAGGGCACCTAACAACACTATTCCCTCCTTCAGACGCGGATTTTATTACTTACAATCCTTGTATCAGGGTGGTGTGCTTCTTCCATGTGCACTTCGTCGATGCCCCTTTAATTGTTCTGCAAATGGAAATTCCACTTTGCTAGCACCATTTGTTGAAGGGACTGTTCTTCCTTATTTGATGTCTTTTGGCCCTTTATCAAAAATCACTCGTCTGAGGTGTTCGCTTGGGTGACGGCGAAAATAGTATTCCAAATCCCACAGGAGGGAGTAGAGAAATTCAAGAAGACGGTTGGTTTGGGTGGAGGGAGTGGAAGGCAAGCTATTGGCATTGAGAAGTAGCTTAAACTACTGAATATAAAATTGATGTCCTGAAATGTAAGCATCCACCTAATTAATAATTTTAAAAAATCATTTTATTGGGGGCTCATACAACTCTTATCACAATCCATACATCCATACATTGGGTCAAGCATATTTGTACATTTGTTGCCATCATCATTCTCAAAACATTTTCTTTCTACTTGAGCCCTTAGTATCAGCTCATTTTTTTCCCCTCCCTCTTCCATCCTCCCTCCCTCACAAACCCTTGATAATTTATAAATTAGTATTTTTTTCATGTCTCACTGTCTGGTCTCCCTTCACCCACTTTTCTGTTGGTCGTCCCCCAGGGAGGGGGTTATATGTAGATCATTGTGACTGGTTCCCCCTTTCTCCCTCTCTTATCCTCTTACCTTCCTGGTAGCTCTACTCTCATTATTGGTCCTGAGGGATCTATCTGTCCTGGATTCCCTGTGTTTCCAGCTCTGATCTGTTCCAGTGTACATCCTCTGGTCTAGACAGATTTGTAAGGTAGAATTGGGATCATGATAGTAGGGGAGAGGAAGCATTAAAGAACTAAAGGAAAATTGTATGTTTCATTGTTGCTACACTGCCCCCTGACTGGCTCGTCTCTTCCCTGCAACCTTTCTGAAAGGGGATGTCCAGTTGCCTACAGATGGGCTTTGGGTCTCTACTCTGCACTCCCCCTCATTCACAATATTTTTTTGTTCTTTGAAGCCTGATACCTGATCTTATCGATACCTGTGATCACACAGGCTGGTGTGCTTCTTCCATGTGGGTTTTGTTGCTTCTGAGCTAGATAGCTACTTGTTTACCTTCAAGCCTTTAAGACCCCAGATGCTATATCTTTTGATAGCCGGGCATCATCGGCTTTCTTCACCGCATTGGCTTATGCACCCACTTTGTCTTCAGCAATCATGTCGGGAAGTTGAGCATCATGGAATGCTAGTTTAATAAAACAAAGTGTTCTTGCATTGAGGGAGTACTTGAGTAGAGGCCCGATGTCCATTTGTTACCTTAATACTAAACCTATAAATATATGTACGTAGATCTATTTCCCCATCGTCATATATAAATATATTGACATATGTACATGCCTGTATTTAGACCTCTATAAATGCCCTTTGCCTCCTAGCTCCTTCCTTTATTTCCTTGTACTTTCCCCTTATCCCACTATCACGTTCAGCCTTCATTTGGGTTTCAGTAATTCCTCTTGGTTACATTGCCCTTGATCAAGCCCTACCAGGCTTCCTACACCCTCTTCACCATCGATTTTGGATTACTTGTTCCCTTGTCCCTGGGTTGTTAACACCCACTTCCTTTCCCCCACCTTCCCCACTCCCATGTCCCCCACCCGAACTGTCAGTCCCTTTGTTTTCTTCTCCAGGTTGTTTATCCCACCTATCTTAGCTAGATAGACCTGCAGAGATCACAAAAAACAAGACAGAGCAAAACAAAGCAACAAAAGAAAACAAAACAACAACAAACCAATGACCCAAAAAAAGCCTGTAAGTAGTTCCAGGTCTGTTTGTTGACTTTTAGGAGTGCTTTCCAGTCGAGTCTGATGGGGTGCCATCCCTGGCCTCAAAGTCTATTTTTGATATTCTCTGGGGACTTTGTTGCTCCTAATTAATAAATTTTTGTTAAAAATTGTCTGTAGTGGGTGGATTCCCCGCCCCCCTCCCCAGGTTCCCTATTCTGTTCCATTAGTCTATCATTATACTGGTACCAGGATGTTGTCACTACTGTGGCTGAATAATAGGGTTTGAAGTTGGAAAGTGAGCTGCCTCCTACTTTATTCTTATTTTAATAGTAGTGCTTTGCTTATGTAATTAGGGAATAAGTCTTGTGTCCTGGCTCCACCAAGCCCTCAGCTTCCCCAGCAGATAAGACTCACTCCTACCTGGTGGCCTGGGGAGACAGTGAATATGAAGTGCAGGAGCAGACAGGTGGCCGACAGCGGCAGCAGTGACTGTGTAGTGAGTTATGGAGACAGACATGGCCCTGGATACTCAGCGCTCATGGTCCCCTCGTCTCCAGAACTGTGTCTGGTGGCTCCTGGCAGGAGCAAGAGGTAGTCTCCTTGCTGGTTGCTCAGGGAGAGGCAGACATGAGGGGCTGGGGAGCCCTGCCAGCTCTACCTGGGGCTGCTGCGTGGCCCAGGCCAGGGGAGGGCCCTTTCTGTGCAGGGGCTTCCATAGGCCACCTGAGCACTCAGGGTAGAGTAGACAGTCTCAGGGCAGCTCCCTCATGCCATGGGTCTGTCCAGCTCGTTTCCTTTTTCTGGGACAAATGCCCTCACTCAAATAAGTGCTGGTCTTGGAGGGGTCAGCTGCTTGCTCCTGGGATCAGAGGAAAACTTTCTGGAAGTTTCAGGGTGCCTCCCTCTGTCCTCAGGCCAGTGCTTCAGACCATGAGAGTCCTTCCTGATACCCCTGCCCTTCCCTTTGCCCCCTGCAGAGGTCTGGGGTATGAGTGAAGACCCAGCGTTAGGAGAGAAGGAAACCGAGGACTGGTTGACTGTCCTGTGGGCTCAGCCTGGGAAACCAGAGTCCCATCTGTTGCTCTGGAAGGAAATAGCATGTTTTCCCATCTAGAAAATGGGACGAACAATCACTGCCCTGCCAACTTCAAGTTGCAGATGAGCAAAAGGCTTGTTACTGCTGTATGCAAATTGTACCTCTTAGTTTGACACCTTATGGGGCGGAGTGGGGCACGGCAGGGCCCCGGTGCATGGAGGTTCATCTGCAGTGGGATTCGGGGTTGGGGGTGGGGAGTTCCTCAGATGCCTTTATGAGGTCCTGCCCCTTTTCTACCCTCCATCCTGAACCCCACTCATCCCAGGTGACAGATCCTGGGGATACTGAGAGGAAAGCCATTTTCCCACCAGGGAAGGGGTGCTTCTGCTAAGAGACATTGAAACCAAGTTTGAAAGGAGTAAGACAGGTCAAGAATGTGCCTATAAATGGTACAGCAGATACAGGGGAAGTTTTCCACCAACTCTTTGAGCCCTGAAGGCATAGAAGGTTACATGTTAGGCTGTCGTCCACAAGGTCGCAGTTCAAATCCACCTCCCCCAGAGAAAGATGAGGCTTTCTGTTTCAGTAAAGATTTACAACCTTGGAAACCAAAAAGGGCAGTTCTACTATGTCAGATGGGGATGGGAGAGCAAAGAGAAGGATATCATTATGTGTCGGCATCAGCCCCCTGGCAGTGGGCTTTGGTGACTCTGTTAAGTGCAAGGTATGGAGGATTTGACTCAGGAAGAGGTGGGGGAGGCTGGGAAGGACCAGGTTTTAAAATAATTCCGTGTATACCCTGCCAGGAGTCTTAAGGTATACTGCAGGTCATGGGGAACCATTGGCAGTTCTTAGGGCAAGTTTACTCCGAACTTCTTGGTACAGAGTATAGGAAAGGTGAGCCTAGAGGTGTTTGGGTAGTCAGTGAAAGGAAGCAGGGGCTGAAGTCAAAGCCCTATGCAAGGAGTTAATCAACAGATGGGAGAAAACTTCGGGACAAGGGGGGAGAGGAGCCCATGGGACCACCAGCCCAGTCTTCCAGCCCCCAATGACCTGTCCCCTACCTGTTCCTGTGTTTTTGCCAAGGGACCTCACCATACTCCCACAGAACACAGGGCCAGTGATTCAACTTGGTCAGTGCTTTATTGAACCAAGGCCCCAGTGATCACCCAGGTCAGAGGCTTCAAGCACAGCCCCTTCCCACATTTTGAAACGCAGAATCCAGAGGTGTTTTCGTATTCCTCTGGAATACCTGCAACGCTCAAGTGTAGAGGTTTGGGTTCACGCACATTCTCCTGCCACGCCGTCACGTTCCACTAAGTGCTTCCACCCAGCTTGTTTGTGGGCGTGTGTGCATGCGAGCGCAAGACACCGCCCGCCTATCCACTCAGCCATCCATCCATCCATTCCTGACAAAACAGCAGCAAGTTCTGACCCGCCAGGCAGTGGGGGCTGGACTTCCAGCTGGCTCAAGATTGAGGCCTTAGCCCGCACCCACCCCCACCTGAGGTTCTCGGGGTGGGGTAGGGTGTCCTCCCCTAGGATGTTAACATCCCTTTCAGAGGCAACAGAAGGCGGTGCTAAGTGGGTCATTGATATGTGTCCCTAACCCCAGCTGGCTAGGGAGAGCCTACACCTCGGCCAAAACTGACAAACAAAGAAAAACAGAGTTAGAGGAATCAAGCAGGCAGATAACACAAACAGGAGACAGAAGAGCTGAAGTTCTTGCGGTAGGGGTGTGTGTGGAGGGACAGGACAGAGGGAAAGAAACGACTCCTGGTTCCTGAGGAGGAGAGGCAGGGGCTTAGCTCTGGCCGGTTCTAGGAGAGCCGGGCAGTGGTTTTCCTCCAGCCCCAGTTAGAAAGCCCCTAGAAAGAAGGGGGCTTTTCTGGACACAGAAAACTAAGGGTTAAGCAGCACAGGAAGGCTCCTTGTGGAAAAGGAAGGGCTTCCATTAGGCTGGTCTGGCCCAAACCTTCCCAGCAGGCTGGGCTCTTCGGTAGAGGGCACCAGGACATGGAAATGGAGTCAAAGGGACAGAGCTAGACAGACAAAAGACATGACACCCTCCCCTTGATAGCACCTGGGGCATCCAGCAGCCCCTTGATTTAGGGGGGCCCGTCGAGGGCTCTCAGGCAGACGGACCCTCAGCAGTCCTGCAGCCGGCTACAGAGCTCCCGCCGGCTGCGCTCCCCAGCCCAGCTGCGAGTCTTGAGGCGGAAGGTCTTCAGCTCCTCCTTGAAGGCTTCATGGTCCATGGGCCGGTAGTCCTGAGGTTCACAGAAGGTCTAGGGCAATGACAACAGGGGTCGTCGAGAAGGCTCTAGTGTGACTGAACCCCAACCCGCTCTTCTGCCAAGACCACAGCCTGCCCGAGCCTTTTCCCTGTGGTTGAACCCCCACCCGCCACCCCCAACCACAATACCGGGTGCTGTGGGAAGAACTCCTTGTAGCCGCCTTTGAGGACATACATCTCGGGATAGTGCAGACTCGGGTAGTCATTAGTCGCACGGTCTCGTTCCCTGATGAAGCGGCACCTGGGTGGGCAGGGGAGGGAGAATCAACTGGGTACACCTCAGGGGGCTGCTCCCTGAGCCCACGCCTTTGATGACCCTGGGGAGCTCCCAGAAGGCTCCTGAGCTCCGGAATATCAACTCAAAGAACATTTTCCCAAGTGCAGTGTGGCTCCTGGGTGTAGAACAGGATGTGGAAGTGACTCGAGGGCTTCCTATTCCAGGAAGGAAGTGCGCCATCTTGGCTAGAGGTGGGCGTGGCCTGGGAAGGAGCCAGCAGGGATGGAGAGAAGTGTCAGGAGGCATCCTTGGTGATGCCAAGGAAGTGGGGAGTGGAAATACCCAAAATCAATCCTCAGTGACTGGAGCCTATCTTGACAGAGCTGGGGTCAGGACACAGGCTGGGAATCTGAGAGGGCAGAGGGCAGCAACAAGGGCTTGGCCCTAGACATCTGTAAGGCGATCTGGGTGTGGATAGTCTGCTCTCGTGAGGGCCGGGGCCAGAGAGTGACGGGCAATGGGATGGAGCAGGTGGGATGAACCAGGAGTCGGGCAGGTGGGCAGGCTCAGGTCAGGGCATTTAGGAATGCACAGGGACAGAGACGAGAAGGGGTCAGAAGCAGTTCACAGTATTAACAACCCTCCTCCAGGCAGGCTCAGTGTCTGGACTGAGAAGGACCATGCTGGTGATTTGGAGCAAGGCTCGGTAGGGGTGGGAGCAATGAACAGAGCAGAAATAAGGCTGAGGGGAAAGGTGGTGGGATGGAGGGACAAAGGTCATCCCAGACCTGAAGATGAGGCATGCTGAGGGCCGCTGGGCTCTGTCTGGACCATCCCAGAGGCTCCAGCACCCAGAAGGCTGATCAGGGAGGGAAGGCCAGGCAGAGCTGGGACTCACATGCGTGGCCCGCGCTCCGATGAGAATTCACAGTGGAAGATGAGGATGATCCTCTTGTCCAGGCTGCAGGCCGTGATGGGGCTCTGTAGCAGGAAGGTCTCGGCATCGCGTTGCAGGGGGAGGTTTACAGCTGTCTGCACGGATGCTGGCCGTCAGGCCACAGCCTGACCCCTTCCCTTTACACTCCCAAGCGACCACATCCCCACGGGGACCCCAAGCAGGCTCCCTCCTCCGTGGGAAAGTGTGTCCACCCTCCACCCATCTACCCTCTCTGCAGGAGAAGACCTTGACAGCGGTGGGTCCACAGGGCCAGCCCACCCCCTCTCACCTTGATGTGCCCGCCTTCATACTCATAAGGGTATCTGCAGTCCACGATCACAAACCGCTCCACGATGTTGCTGAACTTGCCCATCAGCAGGGCCACCATCTGTCAGGGGCCACACAGAGTAGGTCTGGACAGGTCAGGCTGACCCGTACCAGGGGCCCACACCCTCGGGATCCTCAGGAGCCCCTGCCTGTGCCGGGTGCCTGCCTGCCTACCGTTTCTGGTGAGATGTACTTGAGGTCTTGGTGCTTTCCATCCACAGTTTGTAGGAGGAAGGCCTGAGGGAAGGAGGGCGAGAACCCAGAAAGTGAGAGGATGGCGTTCATGCTAGGGGCCCAGAGGCCACACCCACTTTGGCCTTCAAATGCAGCTGCTTCCCCACGGCACCCAGGGAACCACCCTCCCAGGGGTAAAGAGCAGAAGAGGCAGCAAGCCGGAGGGCGAGGCCACCTTCCCTAGGTGCCCGAGGAGGTAGTAGTTTGGAAGCATCTTCCAAGTTGAGACCAAGCTGGCCCACATAGAGGAGATGACAAAAGGATGCAGAAGAGGGACCTGGTGGGGCGGGGGGAGCCCATGCTGTCCTGGGCCTTTGAGGACAAATCCACCAGCTGGTACCTTGGAGTAGTCCCCAATCAGCTCACGGTGGTCACTGTCCAGGATGTTCTCAATCTCATCATGACACAGGGACTTGGAGCGGAGGACTCGGGCTTTCTGGGAGGCAAGGCAGATGTGGGCGGAGTCAGAGCTTGGCAAGCCCCGCCCACCGAGGGCTCAGCAGCACAGTGGAGTTGGAAGGTGCCGGCACAGGTGGAGCCCGGGAAGGTGGGCAGGGCAGCGCTGCCCCCTAAGTGGTCACCCAGCGCCAGCAGGAGGCGGCACTTACAGGTTCCTCGGGCTCCTGCTCCTCCGAGGGCGGGGTCACGCTTTTCCTCCGCTTGCTCTGCACTGGCTGGTCCCTGTCCAGCGGCCGCTCCAGCCTCTTGAGGATGGGCCGGATGACACTGCAGGGCATGGACGGTGAGCGGAAGAGCCGCTGGCACTTGCTAAACATGATGAGGTCCTGGGGATACCAAGGCAGGAGTCAGAGTCCTCCCCCACCCCCACCCATCCCCCTCCTCTAGAATCCCAGGGGAGCCACCCAGATTCACCTGCTCTTGTTCCTTCTCCAAGGTCTTGACCAGAGGGGCGCTAATGAGGCTCTCCATGCCTGGGGGCACCTCATTGTCGTCCTGAGGCAAAATCAGCCAAGATGCAGTGGTCAGCCCCAGGCATGCGCCAGGCCCCCAAATCCTCCTGTGCAACCTCTCTGTCCCCCACCAATCCCAACGCTGGCAGATCTCCCCCTGCCAGCACCTCTACATGGGGCAGAGCCCCCAACTGGGAAGCTGGGGGCAAGTCCTTGCTGCAGGGGCTTGCACAGAGTATGGGGGGGGTGGAGGAATGGGAGTCAGGCAGCCCTGCCTTCCACTGCAGCCCCAGTCCCCTGAGCAGAGGTCAGACTACAAGTGAGTGCTCTCAGTTTTTCTGAATCAGACACTGGGATGAGGTCACAGCGGCTTGCTCCCATCTCTTGGGAGGTCCTGGGGGGTGGGGGTGGGGGGGTATTACCTTTAGGTCACTCTCCAGGATGTCCACAAATCCATCGTCTTCTTCTTCCTCGGCAGCCCCCTCCACTGGGCTTAGGGAAGGGCGTCGTGGGGGCCAGGGGCTCAGCTCCTCCTCTATCTCCATCTTCTGCTCAGGGCTGCGGCACTGTCCAAGGACCACAGACACAGCAGGTCACCCTTCTGTGGCAAGTATCCTAGCAGCCCCCTACTTCAGCCCCTGGGGCTCAGAACCAGCCTCCCCTTCCCCAGACTGTAAGGGCTCTGTCCCAAGGTACCTTCAGGTTGGGAGCGGAGTTTGGCCTCTGTGCAAAGGCCTCTCTGGGGTTAGCCCACTCGGCCTCAGCCTGGGCGTTGCCAGAAAAAGCAGGCTTGGATGGCATCTTGAAGACAAATCCGTCCTGTGAGCAAGATAGGTGATGGGGCAGTCAACAGATGCCAGGGCCACCTCAGTGCTCCTCCCCTCCCCCCCGCTGTCCTCCCAGGCCCCCAGAAACGCACGTTCTCCTTGTCATCGCCAGAGCCGCTGGCAGCCCTGCTGCCCACTGTGCTCCTCCTCCACCTGTTGGGCGCGCGGCTGTTGCTGATGTTCCGGAGCACAGGGCTGTGGCCCAGAAGCCTCACCTGGAGGGCAGTGTGGGCGGGTGCTGAGGGTGGCTTTTCCAGCACCATCTGGTTGCTGCTTCCTCCACCCCTCCTCTGGACTCCCATCTCCAGAGCCAGCCCAGGGGTGCCAGGGCATTTCAAGTCACCCCTCTAGGAGGGAGGTGACCCATCTAGGGCCCAAATCAAAAAAGATTTGGTGACCTCCTGCTCCCCTCCTCCAGCCCCCCCAAATGCCTGGCCTCAGAGAATACTCACTGGCATGGACTGGATGCGTCGGATGGAGAACGGCTCTCTGCAGACAGACATGGGGACAGGTCAGGCCTGGGCGAGTAGGGACAAGGACTCCGGGCCCCCAGAACACCCAGCCCCGACGGGAGGGCCTGGCTGGGACCCCTCCATGGACCACCCAACCTGGACTGAGGAAGACCTAAAAAAACACTCACTTTTGAATGACTCGGCTGGCCGCCTGGATGGCCTGTTCAAACCTAGGAAGAGGGGGTGGGGGGGTCCCATGCAGCCCATCTTTCCCGGGCAGTCCAGCCCCACCCCAGCATCTGGTCCTGTATCACCAGGCCAGGGAAGCAACTTGGAGCCAGGGGAAAGGCAGGGTCATAAGAGGCAACCTAGGACTTGAAAGCCACCGGAAATGGAGAGAGTGAATGGCTGTGGTAGAGACAGCTGGGGTGGGTCGCAGGGTCACTGAGGCATCACCAAGGCAACAGTCCCTCCAGCTTGCCTGCAGGCCTTCCACCTGTATGCAAATCGCCTCAGTGGGGCCACATAGCCGCCAGGAAAGGCATCCATCCATCCCACAGATGACAGGCACGAGACAGTGCTGAATGCCAGCAAGCCCAGGGTTTCATCCCCTAGGCCTGCCATCCCCCTCACCCCCTGACTCCAGGGCCTAGGACAGGAACCTACTCTACTGTTCCCGGTGACCAGCCTCCATCTGCCAAACGAGACCCCCTAGTGACAAATGCTCGGGTCACATCCTCTCCTCCCTCCTATGGAATTTTCCAGGACCCAGCTTCCATCCCACCCCCTCCTCCTGCCTAACAAGAGGCCATGAATTCCAACAGATGTTCCTTTTGAGGCGAGGGCATAAGCTTTCTGTACATGGGCCCCGCCCCCCCAGCTATGTTACCGGAGGCCACCTGCCACTCGGGGCTTTTGTGCATCTATGCGTGTGCATGCACACACAGCAGCCTCTTTCGGAGAAACACTGTGTTAACCGTCAAAGCAGGTGCAGAGATGGGGGAGGGAGCCACTCAGGGCTGATGTATCTGCAGGGTGGGCCTTAGGTGGCGACTGTGCCCAGCAGTGGACATGGCATCAGAGATCATTTGGTTGCACTTTCTGCACCGCACCTGGGTCTTGGGAGGGTTCAGCTTTGACTGCTGTCTCTAAGACCTAACCTGTGGCCTCCTCCCACCCCCACTGGCACCCCCGCCCAACTCTCTCTCTGTTTCCTGTTTGTGAACCAACTCGAAGCCCAGCCCAGCCCAGCCCAGACTGATAAGAGGCATCCAAGCCTTGCAAAGCCATAGTTCCTACAGCCCAGACTGGGGATGCCCAGCTGTCCCTGCTAATGGCTGGCAGCTGCTCCCCCTGCTTGAGATCTAACAGCTGGACAGAACAGCTGCACTTTGCAAGGCACTCCCCACACCCCACCACCAAAGCAGAGGGGCTTCTCCCTTGAAAAGCTCCACTGGCTCTCTCCACTCCTTCTCACAAAGGGCTTTGTCCAGGGGTTGTTGGCCCTTGGGCCAAACCTGTAGGCGACTGCGTTCTTAGACCTAGTGCTAACAAAACAGATCAGTTGGGCCTCATTTTTTAATTGTGATATTTCACAGAATTATCTGTATAAGCCAAGAGAGAGATGGGCCAGGCACAGGGCCCATGCTTCCATATGGCCAGGGCTGGCTGGACCCAAGTGGCCACTGCTCCCAGCAGGCACCGTCGTCCCCACCACCCTTGGCCCTGAGCCCATTCTTAGCTGACTCCCATGAACACAGACCCTATTGGGGTCATGGGCTGAATCCTGAAGCCTAAGAAGGCTCCAGAGTTCCTGTGTGTGTGTGTGTGTGTGTCCTGTGGGGTCTGTCCACTTCTCCACATCCCTAGAGTGGGGTCTCCCTTGTTTACTCACGTCCGTTCTGCCTTCTGAGGGTCCACGGGACTGGGAGAGTCCAAGTAGAGACCTGCCGGAAAAGTACACTTTGGTCTGGAAGTATTGGCTTTCCCCCACACTTTTCCTACTACATCTCAACCCAATTCAAAGGAGGAGGGAGAAAACTCGTTTCTTTTGAGATCTGACACAAAAAATGAAGCACCCAGGGAGCCCGAGGCTGACACTGTCCTTTAAATTGCACAGGGCCCCTGGCCTGTTTGTATGAAGGTTGTGCTGTGTCTTTAAACCACAACTCTTGCTAAGCACTTTCCTCTAACTTAGTAAAATCGTTTGCTTTAGATGAGACCATGACCTTTAAAGGAAAAAAGCTGAAGGCGAGAGAAGGGTATACAAAGATCAATTTTCTGCCCAGAGTGCCTCCTAGGTGGGGCTGTGGTTCAGGACTCTGGGCGCCAGGTCTAAGATCCTCATCTGCCACTCTGGGCCCCACCCTCCCCATCAGCCTGGCTGGGCTGGGTGTGGTGAGCTTCACCAGAGGTATGTCTTCCTCTCACAGGAGCAGGCTGGCGGGGAGATTCAGGGACCCACCCAAACTCATAAAACAAACCCATTTGCCTTTAGGAACACAGATTCCAATCCCTCAATTCCAATCAATCTATGGGGCAGAGTCAAACTGCTCCATAGGGTTCCCAAGGCTGTATGAATCTTCCATCTTTCTCCCACTGAGCAGTTCATTGGTGGCTTGGGATTGCTGACCTTTCAGCTAGCTGCCCAACACTTAACACACTGCACCACCAGTGATGAGCAAGGAGGTAGGCGGGCAGGGGGCTGACTCTTGGGGCCCCTGGGGAGCACCCCTAGGCCTCACCTGCATCAGAAGATTCAGAAGATTCAGATGACAGAGAGGACTCTGAAGCCCGCCGGGACAGGGACAGACATTTCAGCCGTCTTCGGCTGGTGGACAAGCCTCTTACCTGGTTCTTTGGGGTCTCCCTGGAAAAGCAGCAGGGACCCAGAGAAGGAAAAAGGTAAAGGTGGAGCTCACCCCCACCCACCCACCCCCAAGGGCCCATCCGTGTGTGCACTGTCCCAGGGAAGGCCTGAATATAACACTACGTCGAGGATGGAGGCAATAGTAAGGTCAGCCTACTCTCTTCTCAGTAGTGCGGATGGTGCCCACGCTGTTGTGCATAGGGTCAACTGGATGGCACCTAACAGCGACAACTCTCTCCTCAGATGAGACGGACTGCAGACTTGCCCTACAGAGCAAGGTGTGTTTTGGGGGGGGTAGGGGGTATTGGTGGGGAGAGTGGGATCGACTAGGGGAATGGATGAGCAGCAAATCCCCTCCAGAGGGCCTTCCCCAAACTCTCCAGACCCCACCAGTCCACGTGCTTTTCTGGAGAAATGGCCAGAGTTGGGTTGCCATTAGGTAGGGCAGGCCAGCCTGAACCACACAGACATGCTCACCAGGCAGGTTTGGCCTAATCCCCAGAGTTCTGGGCAGAAATGGGACTGGGTGGGGGTGAGGGTGGGAAGCAGCACCCAAGCAATGGGGAGTACCCGACTGCTTTTCCTTCCCAAGTTCTCTGGCCGGGTTTGGGATACCCTGCTTGGGGCAAAATGGTGGAAATGATGGCGATCCGGGCAGCGATAAGGAGACTGCGTGGTGGAAGCACAATGCGGGAGGGAGGAGGGGCCGGGAGCAGTTCCCCAGAGCGGGCGAGGAGCGCGCCTGCCGGCAGCGCTGCCCCCGGCCTCCCCACGCCACCTTTTGGATTCGGCTTCCATGCCCGGCTCCCCAGGAGGCCTGAGACCATACCCCAGCCTCTCACCCCACACCCAGCTTCCTTGGGGCGCCCTACCTGCCAAGCCCGGTGAGGTCGTGCATGGTCTTGGTGAGCGTGGTGACCGGCGAGGAAGCGACCGCGCGCTCCGGGGACCCCAGGGAGCCGGGAGCGTCCAGACGGAGGCCCGGGAGGTGGCCTGGCCGCCCGGCACGCACGCCGGTCGGGCTGAGACCCGAGATCGGCGTGGGCTTCGGCAGCTCCATCGCGGCGGGGTGGCAGGAGGCTGGTTGCAAGGCCGGGCACAGCTGGCAGGGCGCCGGCCGGGATGGGGGGCGGGCAGGGAGGGAGAGAAACGGGGTCAAGAGCAGGGAGACGGGGAGGGTGGGGAAAGAGGCAGGGGGCCAGGGACCAGCCACCGGCCCGGGAAGCCTCTGACTGCGGCTGCCACCTCCACCTCCTTATATATTCGAAAAATAACAGCGGCCGCGCCGCCGGACGCCGCCAATGGGGACGCGGGCTGGGGAGGGCGGGGCCGAGGGCGGGCAAGAGGCAAGGGGCCAGCCCGGGGTGGGGCGGGGAGAATTAGAGTCGGCCCCACAGCCGCTGCCCCCCACCGCCACCCCGTGCCCACCTTCATCCCCCAACCTGGGCGCTAAGACCCTGGCCTCTCGAATCCCGCCTCGCTCAGGGCGTGGGTGAGAGTCACCCCTCCGCAGCGGCCAGGGCTCCAGAGGAAGCCTCAGCTCCCTGGGGGGTCTCTCCAGGGCCCTCTGCGATTTAACATCTAGTACAAGCATCAGTAGACACCTTGAGGGGACCTGGTGGCGTCGTGGGAGATGCTATGCGTTGGGCGGCTAATCACAAGGTCAGCGGTTCAAACCCACCAGGTGCGCCGTGGGAGACCTGTAAAGATTTACAGTCTTAGAAATCTATAGGGCAGTTAAGGGTTAGAATTAATTCGGGGGCAATGAGTTTTGTTTGTTTGGTAGGCACCTTGAAGAGGCCTTTCGGCTCGAGAAAGTTTGACCAACACGCCAGGCCTCTGCGCGCGCGCTTGTGTTCGCTCTCCCATTTTACAGACCGGGACCTGGAGGTGTAGAGAGGTTCATTAACTCATCCAAGGCCACTGGGCAAGTGGTGTAACCCACCCACATTCGCACCTAGGAGGCTCAGATGCTGTAGCCCCCCCCCCCCAACACCAAACTGACAGCCGCTTCCAGGAACTCCTAGTTTGGATGCCTTGGGCCTAATTCCTCCACCTCACAACGCCATCGGCTGGAGAGTAGACCCCATTGGTTGGCTTGGCCCTGGAAGGCAAGCTGCAGTTCTTTAGTGCATAGCCTCCGCCAGCCCAGCTGGGGCACAGCTGGGGAAGCGGGGTGGCAGAAGAGAAGTGGCCATGGATGAGTTGGCTGACTTGTGAGGGAAGGGTAGGATGGCCACAGGTAACCTTTCTATCTCTCAACATTTTACCCACCTCCTATGATGTGCCAGGCTCTGGGCAGCACACTGCCCAGGGCTGAGATTTGGCTTCATCCATCCTGGGTCAGGGTTTCAGGTCTGGAAATGTAACCACTCCCCACAGCTAAGGAGGTGACAGCTCTCAGGGGCCCTGAGGAGGCCACCCACACCAGAACTAAAGATAGAACTGCCCTGGGGGTTACATTTAAAAAAATCAACATAACAGGTGTGTTAGTATGTGGTAGGGGTCGGGGTGGACAGGTTATACTTTCTAATGCCTAGAAATCCCAGTCAGAAGGTCACCACTGAACCAATTCCTAGGCCCCAATGTCAGATAGCGGGCCACTGAACACCCTCAGAATCGGCAGGCTGTAAGCTCAGGTTCAAACCACCACAGGTCAATGAGCCCAGGTACGGGATCCTCCCACAGCAAAAAGCAAGAAATTTTCTCCAGCATCCACCTAAATGGAAAGGAGGCCATGCCTCTGAGGAAATTTCCTTTCAATTGATTGCATCAGGCCTATGACCTGCTTAAGGGTGTAGCCTCCCTCCCCAAACTTCTTATAGCACATTGGCTGTTCATAACAAATACCTTTATGGAGGTGAATACAGTGTGTTAGTTCACATTATGTGGGGTAACTGGGTCTTAACTGCAAAACCACTGAGAATACTGACACAAACCCTATCACAACTGTTTCCAGTACAGATGCAAGAAAAAACTTCTGCATGCGTTCCGTGTGTCTGCTTGTGGCAGCCAAGACTGAATAGGGGATACAGAGATTAAATTTTTTTTTTAATGTAAAAACCTATCACACTACCCAACACAATCTACACATACAATGCAATACAAATCCAAACTCCAACAACATTCTTTAATAAAATGGAAAAACTAATTTCCAATTGAGGACCCAGATATAAATCCATCCAACTATGGATAGTTGATCTTGGACAAAAGGCTGATGATGTTCGTTAAATGAGGGGCAGTCTCCATAACAAACGGAGGCAGCAAACAATCCTTGAACTAACTACAAGCTTTTCTTTCTTGTTGTGTTTTGGGGTATTTTTTTGTCATTGGTTTGTTGTTGTTGTTGTTTTGTTGTATATTGTTGCTTGGTTGTGCTCTGTCTTGTTTTTGTGCATGTTATTATTTCCGCAGGTCTGTCTAAATAAGATAGGTTGGATGAACAATCTGGAGGAGAAAACAATGGGACCGACAGT